ATTACTGGGGGGGGGGGGGGCTAAATGGTTAGCGTGCGCGCGCTGTATCATAAAGTCTGTCATTGAGTCGACTGGCGTGGTTTCGAAAACCCGGTTGTACGTGACAAGGAGTAGGGTCACCTGTCCAACCTCGTGGGTTTTCTCCGGGTCCTCCGGTTTCCTCCCACTGCTAAAGACCCCTGCAAGTGAATTATAGAAATAAAATTAAACCATATGTTAGTCCCGAAATGACCTAGTTTGTGTCGAGTGGACGTTAAACCCCATTTCTCTCTCTCTCTCTCTAGATTGCTAGACTGATTAACACATTATCATCAGTAAGAGAGATTCCAAATCCAAAGCTTGCACCGAGCGCGGAACCCTTGTTTCCGATAATGTAATAATTCTAGTTTCTTGTCAAATGGTAAATGTTGCCACTGTCTCACTTCCGTTCGATTTGCACTGCATTGCAGCATTATACCCGACGTTAAAGGAGTTAACTTGCTCATATTTGGGATTTAGAAATTAATCCAAATGGGTCGCAACGCATATAATAATGTCATCTGATTGTATATCAACTGATTTACATTCAATTGTTTCCGTTTTGACTCTAATTTCAAATTAGTTATGTCCAGTGAAATACGGCACGAGTCTCAACCGAATGGCAATTTCTAGCGTCTGGTTATTCCAGTCTATTGCGCATGCTCACCAGATAAAATATCTCGTCACCGTTTACATAAGTTGTGGAATATGTCTAGCCTCGTTCTTTCTGGTCATACGCCGAAACGCACTATGGTACACGATTCGTGTACCAATGGTAAAATATTTATTTTATCTTAAATAATGGATATCAGAAGCCGACCTTTTCCTGGTAAGATCACAACATCAATGTTGATTTGAATTGACAAATAATTTCAACGTGTAAGACTTTGGATGATATTGAGTTAGAGATTTAGCTACTTTAAGTTAGACCATAGATCGTATATAATATGGATAACTGACTTTGCAGTATCTGTCATTGGACGATGAATTATGTTGTACATCGCATGCGCGAAGTAGATGTACCACAAATTACTTCCGGTAGAAGGCTTGGCTATATTATTTCAATATGTTTCACAGAGAATTACGAGTCTAGTGATATATCTCTGTCAAAGATGACTGCCTTAACACGTGCTGTCACACCACGCGGCGTCAATCATTGGCTGAATTGCGCGTGCATTGTTTACATAAGACGTTACTGCTTCGGAGAGAATGCTGCATTTTAGTCATTTTAATACCCATTTACACTAAATAGGAAATAATTTTTACCTACAAATACGTCAAACGCCTTTATTTATTTTTCCAATACATAAAAAAATGTTTTAGAATTTAATTTGTCGCAGGAAAAAAGTTAATATTTCTGGCTCATTAAGCCGCATCGATGTCATCCTTATCAGTGATTGTAGCGGCCTAGCAAATATTCACTGCGGATCAGTGTGATATTATTTATGGAGCATTAGATGTTATTATTTGGTAAAAATTGTCATTCAGAGAGCAACTGGAAATTTTGAGATAACTTTCCTATATTTATGAAGTTAATCATAATACGAAGAGACTTCATTATTTATATTTTTTAAATGTACTTTAATTATAGATCCCATACTATGGGCCATAGCACATTGCATAGCCTATGCATGAACTGATATTTGATGTTATTATTTTGTAATAATTGTAATTGAGATAGCTACTGGAAATTTTGAGACAACTTTCCTATATTTATGAAGTTAATAATAACATGAAGACCGTATTTTTCACTTCATTTTATACGCCCACATTGAAATGTGGCCGTATATTGTCGTCGCCCCCGTCCGTCCGTCCGCCCTTGATCACTTCAAAAAATCTTGTGGATGCTCTAGAGGCTAGAGTTATTATCCTATCGACTTTAAGACGAAGAAGCCTATTGATTTTCAGCAATTTCCGATAATTACTGCCAGAGTTATGGACCTTGATCACTTCAAAAAACCTTGTGGATGCTCTAGAGGCTAAAGTTAATATCCGATTGACTTTAAATTTATACACCGTGTTTAAGGTCATGGGACGAAGAAGCCTACTGATTTTCAACGATTTCCGATAATTACTGACACAGTTATGGCCCTTGGTCACTTTGAAAAATCTTGTGACGCTCTAGAGGCTAAAGTTATCATCCGATTGCCTTCAGATTGATAATTACTTCATGAGTTGTTACTCTTAATTAGATTTTATCGTATTATAAATGTTTCATTACCGAAAAAAGTAAAAATATGCGACAAGACTTGTTGACTGCCCGGACGATTTAGCTGCTGTGAGCGTATGTTTCGTTGCCTGGCAACCTATCTTCAACAATTACAGATATTAACAAAGAATAACCCGATAATAAACTTCTTTATTTATACTTAAGCACCTTTTATTCGACCACATTTTCATGTGGACGTATTGTCATGTATTATGCTGTTATACCATTATCATCCGGGGGATTGGATGGCTGAATGGTTAGCGTGCGCGCGCTGTATCATAAAGTCTGTCATTGAGTCGACTGGCGTGGTTTCGAATCCCCGGTTGTACGTGGCAAGGAGTAGGGTCGCCTTTCCAACCTCGTGGGTTTTCTCCGGGGCCTCCGGTTTCCTCCCACTACTGAAGACCCCTACGCGCAAGCGAATTATGTAAATAAAATTAAACCATATGTTAGTCCCGAAATGACCTAGTTTGTGTCGAGTGGACGTTAAACCCCATTTCTCTCTCTCTCTCTCTCTCTCCATTGTCATCCGGACGTCTGTTCACATTTAGCTGTGGACACTCTTAGCCAAAGGTCACAATTTAGATGAAGCTTACAATATATGTTCAAACCCCAAACAACTTGGGCACATGTCGAACCTTAAATTCCTGGATTATTAACCCTGCTTGTTGGTTCATGAGAAGACGAACTCCATCGATAACTCCTTTCCGGACCTTATCCTCTGAAAATAGAGGCTACATTTTTTTTAAACAGATTTATATCAAATGTGGTGTTGTCCCCTTCTCCGAACACGATAGAGACTGCATCTTTTAAAGTTACAATTTCATATTTTCTAAGAAAGTCAAAACATAATCATTTCTATGTCTTTTGCTCAATAGGTTGTCAACTCACTATTATACGATCATAGGTGTCATTCTCACACTTAAAACTCATTTACACTGGAAATAATAAAACAATTAACTCCCAATTACCTCCCTTGTTTTCTACTCTCCACCATGGAGTGGCTTTTTTCAAACGTTTGAATTTGAAGAGGAAAATGATATTTTTGCCAATTTCTCAACTGGCAATAGTGAATTATAGGATTAATAGGATTATTCTTTAACAAGGTAGGACTGTTTATAGATTTATTTTAATAAATTTTAAAAATATAACTTAAAAATATGAAATTGCAACTTTAACAGATGGGGTTTATCTCCTATTTGTCTGCATGGTTTGACTAATTATGGCAGGTGTAAATTTTGTGCCCAGACGGCAGTGTAATGACCTACTCTCATTTCGAATTCTGTCAAGGATTCTTTTACATGTACTCCAACGAATCGAATAGGCAATTTCCTTGACAGGTCCTCCACCCGAAATTACTGACAATAAAGTCTTCTGACCTACAATACATTCTATTTGTTACACTCTGTTATTCATGGAGGGTGGTGGCTGGGAAGAGCTCACCTTATATTCAGAGGCCTACAAAAGAAAGAAAGTACAGGGTTTAAAGGGGTATTAACATATTCATAAAAAAAATTGAGGAGTTTAAACGGGTATTAACATATTCAACATAATCCTCAGACAATTTTCAGATCCAATAGCCTGACAAGTACAGCTGTCTAGTCGTTCGGATGGGACGAAAAACCGAGGTACCGTGTACACATTGGTGTGCACGTTACAGATCCCTTGACAGTTGGAATTCGATATAAGAGGGAGGCCGTAGGGCCGCTGTCCGGGCAAAATTTCTCTCATAGCACACTGTATGGCGTATGCCTGTCTTCGATAACCCAGGTTAGGAGCAGAACAGTAGGACGTTAAACCCCATTTCATTTCAGATCCAATAATTATGTATTTTTAGATTATGTAATACTGATTAAATAAATATTGTTAGAAGGAAAACAAAACCAGCGTCACTATCTGATATTTAGACTTACATTCATGCAAATTTTATAATGTTAATACGACCAATATTTAACTTGCATAAAAGGTCTAAACACACTATACACATTTTAGCTATTGAGTCTACTTTCGAGTAGTTTCTATATTAAAATACACCAATACAACTGGATTTAAATGAATATGATAATGTTTTCAATATTAAATTAGGGCTTAGAAACAGACACCCATTCAAATGATTTTTAAAAATGTTTACCGTGAAATTTCAGTGTGCATACATATCTTTTTAAAATACAAAATAAGTATCAGAGTACAATAATGATCAACCGAGCGAAGTGATGTGAAATAAGTGGGACGTGTAGTATTTAGAAAACCCTAATGCGGGCGTCACACTGTCCCAAAATTGACACCAGATGGATCCACAATGGCGGCATCTTAAAGGGACAATAACACTCTTGCTGGCTTGAAAGCTCCAGAAAATAAATAATATCTCTATCTAAGTACTAGATGTTTAAGTGTCCTACCTGTTGTGTAAATTATCCATTACATCCTATTTTACTTGTCCAGAGGGTTCGAAAATATTTTTAATTCGAAGTTTCATTTGAAAAGGTTTATGTTAGACGTTTCAAACCATTATGTTGAATTTTTCAAAATTTTTAAATAAGGTGTGTTAAGATGAAATTTGTATCATCAATTAATTGGAATATTGTAAAATAGTACAATTTGTTGACCAGAATAAAGATTGGGACATATTATTCAGTTACAACAAGAGTGGTATTGAGCCTTTAATATAATGGATCCTGAGGTTACAAAGTTCGATGAAAATAAATATATAAAAGGCAATTAAATTTCGATAAATATATTTTATATTTATATATATTTTATATTTATCAATGATCAACCGAGCGAAGTGATGTGAAATACGTCGGACGTGTAGTGAATAGAAAACCCTAATTAATGCGGGCGTCACAATGTCCCAAAATTGACACGAGATGGATCCACAATGTTTAAATTCGACTCTGATCGTAAAAACACCGAGCCATTTCGTGGGGGCATCTTAAGCCATCGTATGGCCGCCTATGGAGTTTCTTAGCTTCGTGAGTGTTGGCAAAATCTTTGGCATGCCAAATAATTGCTGAAAGACCTTGGGTAGGTTCATTTTCGTGTTGCATTCGTGTGTCCATTTTGCCCCCCATCAGGCCATCGTGAGGACATCTTGTCAAATCGTGTCATCTTCGTCTTTACTTCGTGTGAACATCGTTGCCATTGGGCATTTATCTCCTCGCGAAGACAATAAACACGAATCTGCCCGATAGTCGTAGGAAGGCAACACGACAACGCGAAATCCTCGCAATGTCGTCATGTAGTACGATGACATTGAGATGGGACCAAGGTGTTGGCGAAAACAGCCGAATTTATGTAGCTCAAGCGATTCCTATGTGCCATGATAACATGGACATGTGGAAGGCCAGCCTCAGAGTATCTTCCTGTGTCAGTCCTGTAGTACGCAACAAAATAGAGCTTAGACGTGTAGCCATCGTGTGACCCTCGAGTATAAACTAATATACAAAATTCACATCTTCGTGTGTGTTTTGGGCGCCACCGTGTGACCTTCAATAGGCAACGCCCTGGTTTTGGCTGTTGATGGGCGGTTGACCAAGTTCGGGGCAATTTTCGCGCGAAATTCAAAACTCCACATCCTATTTCCATTTGGTGTTAATTTCGGGACAGTTTGACACAAGCATAAATAATAGAAATATTGCAAGTTTACCGGTATACAGAATTTCGAATCTTAATGAGAGACACCCCCGACCCCCGCCTCCCCCACCTACTGCAGAAGGAAGAAGCAATTGCCAATAGAAAGGCAAGGGGCAACCCCCTCTCTGTACGCGCCTGTGCTTCTATGTAATCTGAAGAAAAGACGAATGGGACTCTTGTCATCACCTACTGGAGCTCATTGTCCAATTACCAAAGATTCCATACTCTATTTTATTTGCCTATCTTATTTCAGGAGGAGGGGGAGGGGGAGGGGGCATAGTGGGTTAACGCGTGCGTGTAAAATTACCAGGTCTGTCATTGAATCAAGTGCCGTGTTTCGAATCCCCGCTAGAATGTGACAAGGAGTAGGTAGCCTGTCCAACTTCATGGGTTTTCTCCGGGTCTTCCAGCCCCCTCACCCCCACCACCACCACTGCTATAGACCCCTACGCGCAAGCGAATTATTCAAATAAAGTTAAATCATATGTTAGTCCCGAAATGACCTAGTTTGTGTCGATTGGACGTTTTACACCATATTTATCTCTCTTTTAATTCACGAACACACCATTCCCCCTCATACCCCCACCCCTATGGAAGACCAAAGAGCTCTTTATTTAGTGTTCCTAGTTCATAATTCATAGTTCTTAGAATTAAAATTCTTTTTTCTTCAATTAATTTTTTTGTGGTACCTTATAATCAATATTTGTTTTACAAATCAGACATTCGTCATATCAGATATGTAAATTGTATATTTGTTTAATTTAATTGTATTTTAATAATAAAATCCCAAAATTGTATTTTCAATTCATATGAAACTTACAACGAAAAACAAATCTCGAACAACAAATTTCTAAATACCAATCTTGCAAAACGAATGTCAGTAGTGCAGGACGGTGGGTCTAATAAGGACAGCTGCCTACACTGAAAAAACACTTGTGTTGGATCTCAACACAAGTACTTGTGTTAAAACTAATCTACACAAGTTATGTGTTGTTTTGCATTGCATTAACACAAACTTGTGTCGATTTATAAAATCTTGTGTTTTTTTCATATCATTAACACAATTAATGTGTACCTTCCAAGATTTGTTTTCTTTTTAAAAAAAAAACTCCATACAAAGTCTGAATTCGGGAGTCGTCAAGTTTTAAGAAAAGTAATAAAGGGCTTAATTCACATCTCGAAAATCACATGCTGTTCTTCACTGGAAGGGTGTGAGTACCAATTAATCAGACAATTGCCAGACAGACTTGAATGTTAATTGATGTTAAGTTGTCTGTAAAGTTAAAATGTCTGTCTTTTTTTATTGACCCAATAAACTGATAGATCAGATGAATATATAGTGTACATGTGATTTTCAGCACCCTGGTGTTTTCGAAAATTGATTCAATGTACAATGAACAAAAAAAATGAGTAAAACTCTTAATAATGTAATTGGTTGATGTAATCGAAATTGGACAGTATTGGTTAACTGAAAAGTAACCAATCAAATTTAATTGATCATCCACGTGTATCTCATAATCGACTTATTGATATAATGGTTCTCCAAGTTATCTATACTTTTTGTCTGCGATATCACTTCGGTGGAAGCGGACGTAAAATACAACTAACTAAGAAGAAGTATCTATACTTTAGTCATTGCGACAAATTCTTTCTTTGATATTATATCAGCGACATTCAGTTAGATAGATGTAGTGAAGTTAGCACCGGAAGTCTATTTATATAATGGCGCTACAAAGAAAATTTTTTTGATGTGTTCTAAAAGTGTTCCGCTAATTCAGCAATCTAATGAATCTGTATTAATTTTTCTGAAATCGTGCTTAATTATTATTAGCTAATCGGCGCTACACCGTTGTTCAAATACTTATAATTTAAAGAAACCCCCGACTAGGACCAGCAGGTAAGAATCTGTCTTGATTTTATAGTAATACCCGGTTGCAATTATTGGCCGCCATCTTTGATTTTTATAGACGTTCGGGCAAAAGGATAAATGTATATCCAGACATGGACTATAGCTAGATACTAACTTTTGTGTTAGTTGTTTAGTTGAAATGTAATCTTATTTCTGTAAAAGAAAAAAACAACAACAAACAAATCAGCCTTTTTTTTATATCAATGTCATCAATGTGTAGGCCTAATATTAGACTTTCAATGATTCAGAAGTTTCTCTACAGTTTCGTTATTTTTTTTCCCAGTCATTGATGTTAGCATGTACTACACAAAGAAAAACAGGTAACAGAATTTCATTTCCTTTTAATATATTTTTTTAATAATGGCCAATAATTGTTATTGTATGTAACACGAAAAGTATTTATCTCTGTAGAGAGAGGGCGAGTAAATGGGGTTTAAAGTTCACTAAATTCACTTGACACAAACTATGCCATTCATTTCCTTGTATTAAATTGGTCGAATCAAGTAGGTCCATGCTATATATATGTCCTAGAATCAAGTAGGACAGGTAGTCTTCTTCCGCCCTTTTTCTGAACACTGTCTCATTCTATTGCCATCTGTGTATGTTGTGTATTAATTCTGCATAATTAACTCTAGTTAACCTAGTTAACTCTATAATAATAAATGAATTTAATATATAAATAAATAAAATATAAATAAACCAATAATATATTTGTAGTTTAATATGTTTTATCTTATCATTACAGGCAAATCATGAAGCCAAAGGAAATGTTTTTACCAAGGCATGTTCCTCAATAGCGGAGAGAGTTTTATCCAGTGTCGGTTCTGCAGAAGAATCCATTCATAGCAGACCACCCATTGCAGCACTTGTAAGGTCGCTATAAAGAACCCGACAGACTCTGCGACCAAAAGATCCCACTGACGTGTCGTCAAGCGTAAGTACTCATGCAATTAAATACCCATGTATATAAGAATTTATTAACATGTAATTAAATGTACAATTTTATTTATTTATTAACATGTACTTAAATGTACTTTTTTATTTATTTTTTGTTTTAGCTTGACGAAGATTTCATCGATCATAGTGCACCGGGATTTTATCAAAAAAGAGTAAAAGTTGGGGAAAGGCGCCATCACCTTTTTTGTACTGATAGACAGATGCAACTACTCGCACGCGCAAAAACTTGGTATATGGATGCAACTTTTCGGGTGGTGAACAAGCTATGGTCTCAGCTGTTTTCCATACACGCCTTCATTAAGACTGGAGAGACCACCCGACAGTTACCATTGGTGTTTTGTGTAATGTCGGGTAAAAGCCAAGACGACTATTATAAGGTAAATAGCACTTACTGATTGAATTACTATTAATAGTAAAAAAGGACTATTATTTGAGACCTTGAAATTGTCACAAATGGGTCGCACTAACAGCGACATTTGTTTCAGGCATATTTGTTTCATCGGTGACACGTCTGGTGTCATGTGAATGCAACGACAACAGCCTGGTTGATTGATTTGTTGATTGGAGTTCAGATGTCTACTTTAAAATCGACCACTTTCAGGTTGCCGTATTCACTGCCAGGCAAGACCGACTTGAAATTTCTAGAAATTTTCCTGGGGGAGACAGGCCCCAACAAATCCCCCGACGGTGCGTTTCACGACTTTGGCGCAAGACGGTGACCTTGAAGAGACGTCGAAAACCATTTAATAGACATAGTAAAAGTCATATCTTACGAGATTATCGCTGGTCTTGTCAGAAAATGCTATTTTATATATGACCAGTTTGTGTTTGAAAAATTTAATTATTTATTCTCCCACCATTAAAGCACACTAATTACGAAATATCGCTCTCAGAAACTTCATGGTTTCTTTTGCAATTTGTTTGGGGTAAGACGTTATATAAATAATATCAATCTGTCTACCACACAAATTTAACAGATACAAATGCATGTTATTCCACAGGTAGACAGACAGGGCCTCCTTTGAAGGGACTCGGTGAAGGGAACGCGGTTGGTTTAGAGTTTGTCTGACCCCTTTGAATATTTGCGTCTCATCTCCAATGAAAACAATCATGTTGCTCTCATGCTGTTCTCAACCAGAATCAAACATATATCGTACCTGAGATTTGTTAGCATGTTCCACACAACCCAACATTTATCGGCACCGGGATTAAGGGTGTATATCTTTGTTTCTAACGCTTATTGGGAATACGCCACGGAAACTACAATAAAAACTTATTTACAAAAACATTCTAAAGAGGGAAAACTGACATATTTCAAGCTTTACTGTATTTAAAGATATAATTTAAATCAGCCGGCTGAAACCCCGTCTCCGCTGTTTGTTCAGTCATTCTTTAGGTATAGTGCCAGTTTCCACCGACAATGATATTGCAAACAAGTGTCCAATCTATAAAAGCACACATTCCTACAAAATGTTTCTTTAGTCAAGTGAAACAATAAATTCATAACTATGCGAGGGTGTGGTGAGTAAATTCGTGGTAACGTGAATAGGCTAATGTGACATAGAACAAGGTCACATTGATGTTGACAAATACGTAAGACGATATGAACATCAACTAAAAAGATATGTAATGTGATTCAGCTGCAAGGTGATATATGCATATATGCAGCATAGATAATTAAAACTTCTATTCAAGTTAAACCAACTGTATCTATTTATTTAAGCCTTACGTCGAGCTGAATACATTTTATGATTTATTTTCATCTATTGGTGGTTAACAGTGTGTAACTAAAAACTAAAATTGGATCTTATTATTGCCAATGATATAATGTACATGTAATAGCAAGTGTATATATATATTTTTTGTTCAGTCTGTACACAGTAACATATCTTAGAACCATATTATTATCATTTCTGCCCAAGGCTCCCTGTGCCTTATAGTTAGCAGTGATACAAGGCAATTACCAATTTTCCATGTTCTTGGCCTGAAGAAATAAAATAATAAAAGTCAAGTTTTTATTATTATGCAAGTGGCAAAATACAATTATTCATAGTATGATTTGAATAAATACAACTGATTTGAAGTTGGAATTATTATTTGTCTAAGATGACTGGGCATTTACAAATTGAAATAGCTACTCTTCAATAAGAAAATACATGAATATTTTTCCCAATTCACCTGGATTTTATTGTAGGTCTTTGTACGTGAAATAGCTTTATTTAACGTCCGCTACCACCGAAGTGATATTGCAGAAAATTAACAAATTCGGATTCCCTTTTAAAGGAAATTGACTGCACTATTGCTGGATTGTATTATATAGGTCATGTCAGTTTTTTTCAAAAAGGCGCCCAGAACACAAAACAAACATTGCAATTCAGGGCTGACTGGTGTCGAGGTTGTATCCTAAGAATGATTTTTTGAATATTTAATTACACAGAAACACAAGTATGCACATGCAGTTATGATATAATATTAAATTAGCTTACCTCAAATACCTCGAAATATACTGTTTGGTCAGTTTGTCCGCCCGCCATATTTCTATTAGTCACACATCCTTCGGCCAATTAAAATGGACGTATATTTTGTTTTAACCGAAACGAAAAATTTGCGTTATAAATAGTAAACGAGCTTGATTGACAGACCACTGCTAATGTTTTTTCGTGAAACGGTATAACTGCAATCAACACACGGCCGCCATTCTCGATGATTGACAACTCACATTTTTCCTCATCCACCAAAGAACCGTTAGGTTTCTTTGAACATACTGTAATAACATTGGGATTATCAGTTAATCAGCTTTAATTATCCCGCTTTGATCGTTGCCATTTCTTATATTTTCCACAAAAAAACTTTGCCTTGTACGCACTAATTTATCAATTGGTATTGCCATCTACGACAAGCATGTCAACGTGCAGCTCACGGATTATCGTTAACAATTTCTAGGGGCTTGTAAAAAAAGATTGCATGTCGTGTAAATATTTATTTTGTTTTTTGTGTAGGTCATTTTCAAATAAATTCATCAGCATATTATTCGTTTTAAATAAATATAAAACTTTTATGAGAAACGATGATTATCAAAGAACCGTAAGTGCAACTAATGTTTTATCGTTTGGTTGAGCCTTTTACTAACCACGTGTTTCATGTTAATAAATATTTTCTTTCGTGTTTTGTTTGAATTGGCCTATTTCTAATAAATTATCCCGAGTCCCAAACGTCGTTAACCCGAGTCCCAAACGACGTATACCGGAGTCCCAAATGTCGTGGTCATATTTTTTTGAGTCCCAAATGACGCGAGTCCCAAATGACGTGAGTCCCAAATGACATGTAATCAACCTAGAGTTGTTGTTAGTGTTTGTCGGATAGATCCTTTATACTTACTGGCGCTAGGTAATTTCGAGGCTAATATTATTCAATTTTATTTGAATGATTTGCTTGCGCGTACCGTAGGAGTGTATTAGAAACAGTGTTTGCGCAGGTTCGAGAACGGCTGAAGAACATGAAAACACTTTTATGAGTCTCGAACATGAGAGAACGGTATCCATGGTAACAAGATGAATTAAATTCATACAATCTGTTATGATAACTTGTTTAGTATTTACTTCGCTATTAAGCATAATTTTGATAAATTATGACACCGTTTTACTCCTTTTCAATTCTTTGGATGACGATTACATCACCTTTTGATACGCCCTTGTCCGTAGGTTTGTCCGTCGTCTACAGAACTGATTATTTTAAAATTGATATGTTGTTTATTTTAATGAGATGAATCCTATTTAATTTCAATAATTTCTGTTAGTTTCTTCTGGAGTTATGGCCCTTGTTTCACTTTGTGAAATTCATTTAAATCTTTTAAATTAGTGAAACGAAGACGTCTATTAAATTTCTGCGATTTCTGTGAATTATGTCTAGAGTTGTGGCCCTTGTTTCACTTTTTCGAACCTTGTGAACGCACGAACAACAAAATTATCATCCGATTTGTATGAAAATTGTATGCATTATTTAAATTAGTAAAACACAAAACAAAAAAATCTGTCAAATTTCAACAATTAAGGCCCTTGTTTCAGTTTGTAGAACCTTTGCAAACCCACAAACGACAAAAATTATAATCTTGTATGAAATTTTCTTGTAAATGCCCACATTACCTACAAAAGAATGAATATGCGACAATCCCTGTTGACTGCGCAAACGATTAAACTGCTGTGGGCATATGTTTCGTTGCCTGGCAACCTAACTTACTTCATGTTATACTGGCCACATACTACATCCAATTTTCGAACGGTATTAAACTTCTAAATTAATAAATGCACCCATGATGCTGTTTTCTCAGCAGTTATCGATGCGTCGACCTTTGTAAACCCACAAACGACGAAAATTATTATCTTGTATGAAATTTTCTTGTAAATGCCCACATTACCTACAAAAGAATGAATATGCGACAATCCCTGTTGACTGCGCAAACGATTAAACTGCTGTGGGCATATGTTTCGTTGCCTGGCAACCTAACTTACTTGATGTTATACTGGCCACATACTACATCCAATTTTCGAACGGTATTAAACTTTTAAATTAATAAATGCACCCATGATGCTGTTTTCTCAGCAGTTATCGATACGTCGACCATGTTTGTTCTCCCTCACACCAGCTATGAGGTAGTGTGGGATTTGAGAACGTGAATGTGTTCGTGAACGCATTCCAGACTGCTCAAGTCCGACAAGAACCCATTCTCCGTCCGTTCTCTGCACCGGAACACTGTTTCGAATACACCCTAGGGGTATTTAGGAAAGGGAGGAAACCGGAGGACCCGGAGAAAACCCACAAGGCTGGACAGGCGACCCTATTCCTAGTCACATTCAAGTAGGGAATCACATAATAATGGCCTATTTCAAATAAGATATTTGCATATAAAGAAAGTAGGCTTACAGCCTCTTTCAAATGTGATATTTGCATATAAAGAAAGTACAAACTTAAATCGTCAGTGCTGGATAAACTAGTCAAAGGATTTGGCTGAATCAATTGGCGCTAAACTTCACCTAGTTTATCCACTGACATACGCCCGAATCAAACATGTTTGATATATGTGGCCGAATTGTATTTGAGTGGGGTGTCCGCTTCGCCGAAGCATTCGTCTGATTTTAGAATTCATTAGCCAATCACCACTCATTCATATCGAGTGGGTATCGCAAACTAGCAGTCGAACTGTGACACGGGTGCTACAGTCAACAAATTCCAACTACCATACTATCGGCTTAAATGCACGCCAATGGGACCTCAGGTTTTGTGTTCCTTTGAAACGACTAGAAATGAAATGAAATGGGGTTTAACGTCCTACTGTTTTGCTTCGAACTGGGCTAATGAAGACAGGCATACACCACACAGTGTAATATGAGGGAAATTTTGCCCGGACAGCGACACTGCGGTGTATCGAATTCCAACTGTCAAGGGATCTTTTACGTGCACGCCAACGTGTACACGGGACCTCGTTTTTTCATTTCATCCGAATGACTAGACAGCTGTCCTTGTCAGGCCCTCCGTCCTGCATCACTGACAAGGGGGAACCACGCCGGGAAATCTGGGTGAACTTTCTCGGCCAATGCAGGGATCGAACACCCGACCTCCAGGCTAGCGAGCCAGCGTCTTACCCACTTAGCCACCATGACGACTAGGCATGGAATCCATGCTGAAAAATTCAAATGAGCTTTCTCGGTCAACCATGGGAGCGAACCCGCAACCTCCCGGGTACCAAGCCAGTGCCTTACACACTAAGCCACATGACTCTCTTCTAATTACTGTGACAAACAAGGGTTATTAAAACAGATTTTCAAGGCTTGGGTAAGATCTTCGGGATTCAAATGGTTTTAGATATCACACAGTTTGTATATGGTAAGGTATCTTAAACAGTTTATTACATGTCACATATTTATATTTTTCAGTTTCCATATTAGATGCCATAGCAAATCAAAGATCATATTATAAAATAAGTCAAAAAACCCAAATATGGAAAAAGAAAGAGCTGAAGAAATGGTGATTTGAGCACCTATGCTTTCTCATAGGTGTTTTTGGAGGGTGAGTGTTCAATTCTAATAGAAAAGATTGTTGTTATGGTATTTTAGAATCTCACCATAATGTGTTTGGCACAATATATCCCGGTTGGAGCTGTTGTGACATAAACCTCCATTTCATTTTATTGTTTTGAAATTTAAAATTCAGTTTAGTATAGTAAATTTGTACACGTACATGTATGTGCACAAACAGAATCTTACTTATGTCCAGATACATGTAGATATGACTGTCTCATCTGTGGGGGACCACGGTGGCCAAGTGGGTTAGACACTGGCTCGCATATTTTAAGGTCGCGGGTTTACAGTAAGACATTGCAGTACGGAGGACTGGGCTAATGAAGTTGGGCATATGCCATACAGTGTGCTACGAGAGAAATTTTGCCGGGTACCTTGACCTTAAGGCCTTCTCTTGTATCAAATTCTAACTGCCAGGGGATCTTTTACATGCACACCAATGTGTACACGGGACCACGTTTTTTTGTTCAATCTGAATGACTAGACAGCTGTCCTTGTCAGGCCCTCCGTCCTGCATCACTAACAAGAGGAAACCACGCCGGAAAATCTGGGTGAACTTTCTCGGCCAATGCAGGGATCGAACACCCGACCTCCAGGCTAGCGAGCCAGCGTCTTACCCACTTAGCCACCATGACGACTAGACAGGGAATCCATGCTGAAAAATCCAAATGAGCTTTCTCGGTCAACACTGGGAGCGAACCCGCAACCTCCCGGGTAGCAAGCCAGTGCCTTACACACTAAGCCACACGGCTCTCTTTTAATTACTGTGACTCTCCAGTCACATGACAAACAAGGGTTATTAAAACAGATTTTCACGGTTTAGGTAAGATCTTCGGGATTAAAATGGTTTTAGATATCACACAGTTTGTATATGGTAAGGTATCTTAAACAGTTAATTACATGTCACATATTCATATTTTTCAGTTTCCATATTAGATGCCATAGCAAATCAAAGATCATATAATAAAATAAGTCAAAAAACCCAAATATGGAAAAAGAAAGAGCTGAAGAAATGGTGATTTGAGCACCTATGATTTCTCATAGATGTTTTTGGAGGGTGAGTGTTCAATTCTAATAGAAAAGATTGTTGTTGTGGTATTTTAGAATCTCACCATAATGTGTTTGGCACAATATAGCCCGGTTGGAGCTGATGTGACATAAACCTCCATTTCATTTTAATATTTTGAAATTTAAAATTCAGTTTAGTATAGTAAAACTGTACACTTACATGTATGTGCACAGACATAATCTTACTTATGTCCAGATACATGTAGATATGACTATCTCATCTGTGGGGACCCATGGTGACCAAGGGGGTTAGACACTGGTTTGCATATTTTAAGGTCGCGGGTTTGCAGTAAGACGATGCAGTACGGGGGGGGCCTTACAAGGACAGCTGTCTATTCGTTCAGATTGAACAAAAAAACATGGCACACTGTATGGCATATGCCCAACCTCATTAGCCCAGTCGAAGCTGAACAGTAGGACGCCAAACCCCATTTCATTTCATTTTTTTCATTTTGTCTCATCTGTGACAAAGCAAACCAATTCATTACAATACAATTTAATTAAATTAAAACTTTCGTCTATTTAAATATTGAATCGATTTAAGTCAACTAAAACATAGTATGTTTTTTTTCTCAGTTAACTACATCAGAAAGATCAAGACAGTTGGAAATGGCTATTCATATTATGGAAACTTTTTCTCACAGAGCTTGATAATCAGGTAAAATGTAAGTAACATACATATTTGTATTTTTAATCATCAACTAGTTCTAAACACTTGATTGGTAATCTAGTTATTCTTCTTGGGGCAATGCCTAGGACTCTCCTATTCAAGTCTTGGCATTCTTGATTTTTGACAATCACATCCATTGATTTTCTTCAAGTTGTGATAGAGCCTATGTGTATTTTTACAGTAAATAGCAGTATAAAAATGGACAATATTTTACTTTTCAAATAGATTTTAATAGGTAATATCCAATTTGTTGTCGATGGAAATAAAATATAATAATCTGCCTGGGTCTGTTACTGGACAAGACACAATAAGTGTTACCCAAAGATGAATCAAAATAGAGACTCAGTCTCGATGTGGCAAAATAAATTGTTTATTTAAACATTGTGAACCATAAATAGTAAGAAAGTATTCTTATTGCCTACTTTTTATTTTTTAGGCTGGAAGATTATTTGATGTATGATAACAACAAGAGATCCCAAGCATCAATTTATTTTATAATTCTGGAAAAGAATGCATTTGACCCAATTTTTGAATATTTTTTTTTGTTTTTACTGTTAAATATTCATCCCAAACACAATTAGATTTTAATTCTCTACAGAAATTTATGTATAATACAGAATGTAAAGTGACATATAAATCACTTAGAATTTGGTTGGAAATCATAAAGTATTTAATAGGCATAGTCTAGAAACCAAATGTAGATCAAATATACCCAGAATTACAAAAAACCTCGACCTACATTAAGGTGACTTTCCCTTGCTTATGAAATGAAATAGGGTTTAATATCCTACTTTTCTGTGTTATTATGGTGATTCTGCCCTACAACCTACTCTTATATCAAATATTTCATCCGTCAAGGGTTGTTTAAAGGGAACCCAGGAGGGCCGAATGGTTAACACACGCACATTGGATCAGAAGGGTCTGTCATTGAGTCAGATAATTCAATTGTCAAGGGTTCTTTAAAGTAAACGCAGTGGGGGTAGTTTCAATTCTGGGCTTATACCCAATTATCCCTTGCCATGTCCTACACTACTGACGTGTGGGAACTATGTCGGAAAATCCAGTTGAAATTTCTCGGCCAATGCACTCACTGAATCACAGTGGCTGCTCCTTGCTTTTGACTTGTGATTATTTATATATATTTTGTACATATTATTTAATGTTTGCGATTTTCTCTGATATTTTTTTATTTTTCAATCCTGTAATCTTGATGCTTTGCTCCTTTTATGTACAAAATATTTATTTTGTTTGAGGAAAAGGTTCTACATCATTTTATTACTCCTGCAAAATAGTGCATTTTTCTTTTGTTAGTTTTCTGTGTATGCTAGTTATTTCTAGATGCCTCACAAATCACTTGTAATATGACTTTGTAGCACTTTTCAGTTTCTGAAAGTATTTCAATTTAGTGCATAATTAATCTAATTAGGGCTTGGTTTGGATGTTATTAAATTTAGATATATTTGAATTATATATTTTTGGGGTATGGGGTAGGGATCTTTCTTTTCTCAGTTCTTGTTTTCGGGTAAAGAAAAAATTAAATAGCTATTTTGAATTTTGTGATGTGGGGGGGGGAGGGGGGCAAAGTATAACAAAATTTTTATTAGTATTAGAATTATATCTCTGTTTTTCTGTTAACATTTCAAATGATGTCTATCTAGTTTTGATTTGGTGGTGTTAATTTACTTTTTCCTATCATTTTATGAATAAATGATAATTTAACAAATAAAATTATTGTTACCTCATTTATCAAACTTTACAGGTTAAACAGAGCAAAAGGGGTGGGGGGGCTGCATGGGAAAGATTGCTAAATTGAGGGAAAATAAAACACAAGTTTTTGTTGGTGGTTATACACAAGTTTTTATGAAACCACACAAGTTTCAGAAATTTCAACACAAGTTTCAGAAATTTCAACACAAGTTTCAGAAATTTCAACACAAGTTTCGACACAAGTATTGTGTAGACTTTCACACAAGTTTGTGTTGTTTGGTAAATTTTAACACAATTCTTGTGTTGTTTCAACATTTAACACAAGTTTGTGTTGTTTCAACACAAGTTTGTGTTGTTAAATAGAGACACCTAACTTGTGTTGAAAACAACACAAGTTTTTTTTCAGTGTAGTATTCGGATGAGACGAAAACCGAGGTCCCGTGTATACATTGGCGTGCACGTAAAAGATCCCTCGATATAAGAGTATGCCATAGCACCGCTGCCCGGGCAAAATTTCCCTCATAGCACACTGTATGGTAATAATAATAATAATTAATGAATATTGCGCGCATTCCATCCAAACAGTATGTTCACGGCGCAGGTTTGTTTAGCTCCTCAGTTCACTCTTTATAACAGGATTCAAACATATGAGATTTTAATTTTGATTTGATAGTTTCCAAATATTAAGAAGTTTTGAGATTTACGGGTAAAGAGTTCCATAGTTTTGGCACACTATGGAAAAATCGTCGAAACCCAAAGGATTTAAGTCTATAACTTGGTACTGTTAGAAGGTGATCATACTGTGACCTTAGGGTGCGTTTGGGGATATATTCAGGAGTTTGAAGTGGATTCTGTGGGTAATTGGTAGCCAGTGCAGTTCTTTTAAAACAGGTGTAATGTGGCAGTTTCTGTCAAATCTGCAGACGATCCTGGCTGCAGTGTTTTGCACAATTTGAAGTTTGTTTATCAGGTTCTGATTTATACCATAGAGTAAATTGTTACAGTAGTCGAGTCGTGAGGAAACTAATGATCTGACTAAAGTATGCGCAGAATCCTTTGTAATAAGATGTCGAATAAACCGGAGATGGAAGTAGCAGACTTTACACAACTGATTGACATGGTTCTCCACACTAAGCTCAGAATCAAGATGGACACCAAGATAATTAACCGAGTTAACAATATTTATTTGAGAGTCAGCGATGTGGATGGTAGACGCTGATTTATTAGAAAGCTGTTGTTTGGCACCAATAACCATGACCCCTGTTTTATCATCATTGAGTTTGAGTATATTATTGGTCATCCATGATTTGATATCTTTTGTACAAAATGTGATTCTATTAAATGAATCCTGATGATCTGTGGAATTCCAGCTATCAACAATTTGTGTATCATCGCCATAAGAGTGGTGCATAAACTGGTGCTTTTTAAGTATATTGGCGACACTGACTGTGTAAAGTACAGATAGCACTGGTCCCAGCACAGAACCTTGGGGAACTCCGCTTGAAAGATTAACAGAATCTGAGTTGATGTTTGTAATCTGTACCGATTGACTACGACTGAGAAAGTAAGATTCAAACCATGTCAGGACACCCTCTGTAATGCCAAACTCTACGTGAAGTTTGTTTAGAAGCACCAATGGATCGATCGTGTCGAAAGCGGCTGAAAGATCCAACATTATTAAGGAACATGGTGTATTAGGTATATGCCCGCCTTCATTAGCCAAGTCGGAGCAGAACAGTAAGACGTTAGACCCCATTTCATTTCATTTCTCCAAATTCATCTAACCTGAATATTATGACGACAGAGGGCGCTAGTGGTGGGCTGTCAAACGGCTCTACCTACCGATAAAGCAATAGGTACACTATACGGTATTTTGTTCAACAGGGTCATCGTTTAAAGATACTTTCCAAGAAAAGTATTTATCGAGTAGTTATTTCCAATAAAAGTATGGCAATTTTGGTATATATGGAAAGTAGAAATACCCAATCTTACTAGAAAAATACTGGATTCCCTGAAAAACATCCATGGAACGCATACAGGACAAAAATGTAAGGGTTTCACAAACCGGCAGCCCGGCGATTAGGAATGTCTGGTCGCGTGACGTCAAAGGTTGCACGCGAAGATTGCCTGATCTCCCAACGTTAGTGAGCGTTTGATGTATATGTTAATAAACTTGACGAAGAGCTTAAACGTACAACAGTTTCTGAGACAAAAAAAAAAAAAAAAAAAAAAAAGACGTGGGCAGTGGATAATCCGAGAATTTAATTAGGCTTCGATAATTATGATAAATGGACAGCGATTAAAGACGACATCGTCTTGTATATGCAATGAATTCTCCTCCGGCTTTGCACCCGTTGCTAGGTAGCACGTAAACCAAGACAAGCGACACAAACTTGACTTCGTTTAATAGACTTTGATAGAATTTAATTAGGCTTCGATATTTATGATAAATCGATAAATGAATTCTCCTCCGGCTTTTCACCCGTTGCTAGGTAGCACGTCAGCCAAGTCACATGACATAAACATGACTTCTTTTAATAGACTTTTATAGTATAGGTATTCTCTCGCGAAAACAATGTTTTGAGAAGAATTTGGAGCAAAATTCTGATAGATTAAACATACATTATGCAAGAGCTAAATCGGCCTATTGCAGGTCTTTCTTTAGACCTGAAATGTCATATAAACTATTAATTGGACCATAATCAATTCTCGATGGCATCGAATACCCGAGATTTTAACTAGATTAGAACGATTCGCCATTGAAAAATTTAATTTAAAAATGGGAAAGCGAGGCTTAGTGTCGAATATACCATTGCACACATCTTGTCAAAACTACTAACAGTGATAACTTGGTGGCTCATAATGAAGTAATTTGAGTGGAATTTTCAATATTTTTATTCTACATTATATATATTTGAGCTTTTATAGCAAGGATGGCCAATTCTTTAGCTAAATCTTACATACTGTATCTTTAATTAGTTTGAATATGTTTTTATATAATCGAAATATATTATCAAATCATCCAGTTTGTACGCTGGAAGGTATCTTTAACAAACTATATACTGTACAGCTGGTAAATACATTAACATATGAGAATTAGGTTAACGCGAACTCAGGACATTATAAGAATTCGTCTGCCAGTCGAACTGTTTGATTTTAAATATTCCCTTCAAGATTTCGTGTTTGCTGTACCATGCGTTAACCATACAGGAGGCCTGTTAGGTCAATATAATGATCAAACAAATTAAATCTTTCGAACATTTTGGTTAAAACCGAGGCATTTAATCACAGTTGATACAACACGCGTATGGCCTTCAATCTGTACATAGTATTAGTTTGATGTCTTTCACTTGGTCGGTCTTTGTCCTTTTTTTCTTTTGCGAGGGTTGGATGGCCGAATGGTTAGTGCGGGCGCGCTGTATCATAATCTCTGTCATTGAATAAACTGGCGTGGTTTCGATTCCCTGGTTGTCTGTGATAAGGAGTAGGGTCGCCTGTCCAACCTCGTGGGTTTTCTCCGGGTCCTCCGGTTTGCTCCCGCTGCTAAAGACCCCTAGGCGCAAGCGAATTATTAAAATAAAATCGAACCATGTGTTACTGTTAGTCCCGAAATGACCTAGTTTGTGTCGAGAGGACGTTATACCCCATTTGTCGCTGTCTCTCTCTCTCTCTCTCTCTCTGTGTATCTCTCCTTTTTTCTTTATAGACTGGATCGAAGTAGTAAAAACCAAATTGTGGGCGAAGCTTTCCATATTTGATTGCCATAGAACTGAAGGAAACCATGTGGCCGATAGTTTTATTTGTGTATAATAATAATAATGATATTTGTATTTATATTGAACAACTAACGGTGGTGACTAAATAGCATAATTTGACACGTAAAATCAGACACAGAATCACATTGTCTCATGATTTCAGGACGTGTATTTCACACTATTGATGATGTGTTATCTGCCTATGTGTTAAAATAGCTAAGTCTCTAACTAAATATCATCCAAAATCTTCAACATTGAAAACACGATTTATTTGTCGGTTTAAATCAACATTGATGTTGTGATCTTACCGGGAAAAGATGGCCTTCTGATATCCAATATTTAAGACAAAATAAACATTTTACAATTGGTACACGAATCGTGTACTATAATGCGTCTCAGCGCTATTTGTAATAAGGGATTCGAAAAACGAGGCTAGGCATATTCCACAAGCTATATTCTTATCTGGGGAGCATGCCCAATAAATACTATCGGCGTAGACTGGAATAACCGGAAGCTAGAGATTGAAATTCGATTGAGAATACTGGCGTATGTCGTCTAACCTAACTGATTAGAAATTACAGTAAAAACAGAAACGATTGAATGTAAATCAGTTTATATCCTGGCTAGCGGGCCAGCGTCTTACCCACTTAGAGAGAGATGGGGTTTAACGTCCACACTCGAGACATCCTAGGTCATTTCGGGACTAACATATGGTTCAATTTTATTTCAATTATTCGCTTGCGCGTAGGGGTCTTTAGTAGTGTGAGGAAACCGGAGGACCCGGAGAAAACACACGAGGTTGGACAGGCGACCGTACTCCTTGTCACGTACGACCGTGGAATTGAACCCACGCCAGTTGACCCTATGATACAACGCGCACTCGCTAACCATTCTGCCATCCAACCCGCCATACATAACAATGTTAAGTCAACATGTTAAAAAAGTCGACAAGGATATGTAAATACATTAAATAAATAAATACGCGTAAAAAGTGCTGAGTTTTAACTTACAGAGTTCCATGGTTATTATTATTATTATTATTATGAGTTAAAACCATTTTAACAGTCCTAGAACTTTGTCTGTGAGTTCTGACACATATACAAGACACGAAAACC